TATATATATATATTAAGTATGTTATATATAAATTTTATACACTTTTTCGGCTACCGAATGTAAATAATTTCTGGTACGGGCTAAAAGTGAAAGAAGTCCAATATTTATTGGGGTATCAAAATTACACTTTACCAATCTAAACTTGTGCTTGGGCTACGACCCAGCTAGTGAAGTTAATCGAAACACACAGTTGAAAGCTATCTCCAACTCCATAATTTCCAGTCACTAGTCCAACATTAATTAGTGGCTATCTGAGAGTCACAGTATTCCCTTTTCTGCTTGCCCAGTGACTACTGAACAAAGCAGGTGTGGACCGCAATTAGATAATTTTAGTCGGTCAATGGCTAGTTGCATCATGGAAAATTTCGGTAATTGACAACTTAAGTGTCACCCACACACACATACAAACACACTTGAATTTAAATGACCTATCACTTGAATCCTCCTCAAAAGTCAGGGTTGGTGGATTGACCAATATATAGACTTGTAATACAATTTAGGAAGAAAATACCACATAATATAAGATCACAATTGCGAAATTTCCATCTTTTCCCCCACTAAATGGTCCCATTTCTTTTACTAATCAAATGTTGGAAGTAACCTTCCCGAAGAGTAGACTATAAGAATATCATAAACTTCAAATCTGCATAGGCGATAACGTAGTCGAAACAACACTAAAGTAACACAATTTTCAGAAATATCGAAATGAGGAAGCCAATTGCAAGATTGCACAATAGCTGATTACGTGGAATTTGGTTCTCAAGTCTAAATCATCATAAGCAGTATATAGGCGACCAAAGGCTTAGGCATCAAGACATCAACAATGGAAGCTAGTTTCCTCCTACTGTTTCTATTGTTTTTCTGCTCTACTATACACAAGATTTCTACTACAACAGATATAATCACTACAAATCACTCCATTGTAGATGGTGAAACTGTTGTTTCATCTGGTGGAACCTTTGAAATGGGATTTTTCAGCCCCAGTGGTTCCTCAAAGCGATACATCGGGATATGGTACAAGCAAATTCTTCCTCATATGCAGACAGTTGTATGGGTTGCCAATAGAGAAAAACCACTAACAAATACATCCTCAGTTGTTTTGAAGGTCACCAAGCCGGGAATACTTGCTCTTCTCAATGACAAGAATGAAATTATATGGTCCACTAACACCTCACGATCAGTCCAAAATCCAGTAGCACAGCTTTTAGGTTCTGGTAATCTTGTAGTAAAAGATGCAAATGATGGGAACCGACATAACTTCCTTTGGCAGAGCTTTAGTTTTCCAACTGATACACACTTGCCTGATATGAAGCTTGGAAAGAGTTTTCGAACTGGGCAAGAGGCTTACCTTTCAGCATGGCAGAACGATAATGATCCAACTCCAGGGGAATTCACTCTTCACGTTGATCCTACTGGATATCCACAGGTCCTCCTCAAACGCGGCACGAAAGTATCAGCTCGCTCAGGCCCATGGAATGGTTTATATTGGAGTTGGGCACCATTATACCTACAAAAACTAAGCAACTCTAGTACAATTAAAGTTGTTTTTAATGAGGAGGAGATTTACTATAGTTATTTTCTCACTAACAACTGGTTAACAAGAATAGTCCTAACTAGCAATGGTGATATACAAAGCTTAACATGGGTGGATCGTACCAAGAGTTGGCATATTTACCTCAAGTTACCTTCGGATACTTGTGATACATATAGCTTATGT